TATATGTATATATATATATATATATATATATATATATATATATACTTAGACCTCTGCCTGGCACATAATATGTGACTACTGTTATGACTGATATTCTAGCTAGCTATAACCATGTGCTTAGACTAGGAGGAAGATACAGGTAAACTCTTTTCTCTGTGGCATCAGAAGAGATACTGGGCTCCAAGTGAGAGCCAGGGGCACTTGAGGTGCTGACTGAGAGCAATGCTTTGGACTAGAGAAGCCATGATACCAGGCATGGTGGGATTTTAGGCAAAGGTGAAATAGCAGCAGAAACACCTCTCAATCAAACTGTGAGTGCAGAGTCTACAGAGGGGCAGAGAGAGTGGAGGAGGGGTGTCCAGGAGTCTTGGGGGGTGCCATGAACTGCGTTGGATGTCTGTGCAGTCAAAATAGAGGATGTGGCATTTCAGCACTAGGACATAACTCATTTATTCTAGATGTATCCATGGCTCATGAGATTGGATGCTTGTTGAAAATGGAACTTAGGCAAATAAGCCTGGTGTAAGCAAGGCTAGTTTGAGTAGAGGATGAAGGGACTGCATGCCAGACAGTGCTGGATGTGTGATGTGCATTTTTATTGCATCCTCATAGTTTCTGGTTGGTAGACAGGATGATCCCTGTCTCACAAGCAAGAAAACTGAGTCTTAGAGAGCTGAGTTCCCACTGTTTGGAAGTAACAAAGCTCAGAGATGAAACCAACCTTTCCTGAGGTTAACCTGTCTTTTCTCAGGCAGTGCTCAGCTATAGCCTGGTGGGAAGTTGCCACTGGGCTGGCCTGAGAGAGGATATGGTGGGTGGTTTTGTGGTCCAGCTAACAAGTGCACACAAGTGAAAGATGTGGGGACAGGGAACTTCAGCTACCCAGCTGTTGGGAGATAACAGGTGAGAAGGGGAGCACCTTAGGGCTTCTTGGCCAGCCATGTGGAGGGCTGAATTTTCTGGTCAAGGAAGCAGAGAGGAAAGTGATCTTCCATTTCTTTTCAGCATGGGTGAAGCACCAGCTGGTTGAATAGGCGAGATGGGGGAGGTGTGGGGAGTGAGGAGAAAGTATTTTTGTTTCAGTGGCAGGAGGCCAGCTGCCACAGTTCAGCATCATGCCTCATTGCTGTCTGTGGTGGCCTGATCTCTTACCACACTGAGAGCAACACAGGATGTGGGGTACTGGTGGAGGCACCAACTGTGTCCTTTACACAAGCCACACACTTTATGTGAGTTTGGGGTTGGTCTGAAATGTCTTATTTGTTCATGGGTATAAGGTGTGTCTTTACCCTGTGTGGACTCCATGAAGGCAGGGATGGTATCTTTTCTAAAACTATGGACTTAGACCAGATTTCCTGAGAAATGAACTCTGTGTCTCATTTGGGAATATTCTCAGCAGCAATACTTCTGAGAGCATGAAGGAAGCAGGACTCATTAGAGAAAGAGGGTGGACTGTGATGGATCAGAACAGAGGCTTCAGCCAACTCAGAGAAGCTTGGAACATGACTGCATGCAGGTTGCCCCCAGGAGCAGGAGGTGTAACTGTGGGCAACTCCTGATGCTTAGTTATCAGCTGGGAGCCATCAACAGCCAACTACCTGCAGCTGATAATAAGCACCTCCATCCTGATAGGGGGTGTGTCTTGGTGGCACAACTTAGCATCCATGCAGGTGTGTTTTTGGGCCTGAAACAATGCCTGGCACATGGTGATGATGGTGATAGGAGCTAACCTTTATGGGGGGCCAGGCCCAATCTTAAGCATTTTATACACATATTACTTTTTATCCTAGTCCATGTGTTAGGCACTATTATTATCTCCATTTTACAGATGGGGAAAACTGAAGCCCAGTGAAGTTACATAACTTGCTTGAATTGACCACTAGTAGATGCAAGAGCTGGGATTTGAGCCCAGGCATGCTTAGATTACACACTCTGAATCACTTTCATAAATTGCTTTCCCCTGTGCTCTACAACATTCCTAGAGTGTGTATTCAATAAATATTTGTTGACTAAGCGAATGAGGAGCCCACCTTGTCTCTGTCCTTTCCTTCCTCCTCCATGTTCTAGGCCTTGTGGAAGGTGGGAAGCAATAGGGACCCTGATGAGGGGGAAGGGGCTTGGGCAACAGATTTTTCTTTTGTGGTTAGAATGCTTTTTAAAATAAAGTTTTAATTTTAATTACAGTATAGTTAGCACACAGTGTTATATTAGTTTCAGATGTACAAAATAGTGATTCAACAATTCCATGTATCACCTGGTGCTCATCATGACAAGTGTGCTCCTTAATCCCCATCACTTATTTCACCCATCCACCACTCACCTCCCTCCTGGTAACCAAGAGTTTGTCCTCTATAGTTAAAAGTCTGTTTCTTGTTTGCCTCTCTCTTTGTGTTTCTCTCTCTCTCTCTCTCTCTCTCTCTCTCTCTCTCTCTCTCT